TTAACTGCATCCTGCTACTGTCTTGTAGAAGGCCTCTTAGGCAAAGACTTTAGGGGTAAGCAGAAAAATTCTGCTAACCAGCCTCGAACCCCTTCTTCATCTATTAGGCTGGCGTAGATGTAACCTGTGTTACATTGTTTCCTGCCTAGGATGATGAATGCTGGATCTCCTTGACTCTACTCATAGAATTTTGCTTATGCCTCCTTGATAATGGCTATGCAACTCTTCCTGTTATCTCCATATGAGGGTACAGCTCTAAAACCCAGTTTAATGATTCTGAGGCCGGCTGGTAGTAAGGTTTCCCGAACTCTGTGGTAGCTCTCAGAGAGGCTGATTCCATCAACAGCTGCAAAATATCAGAGTATTAACAGTGCCATGTTGCGCATGGATGGTGTCCCTGTTAATGCTTTTGGTGTGCATTGTCAAGGCCACATAAAGAGCCCTATGTCACGGCTTAGGGTTAATTAACAGGACTGAGACAACTGCATAGCTCATTGATTAGGAGGCTGTGCTCTATCTATGAATGAGTCAAGTTCTCATTAAACCCAAATCATGACCAAAGTAACCAAAAATTTAAAACCTAAAAAACCATCCCCACCACCTAAATATTTTAATATATCTTTTACAAATATTCGTGGTCTACGAAGCAACTTTCCATCAGTTGAGTCTTACCTCCTGCAAAATTCACCAGACTTGCTTGCACTCAGTAAAACAAATTTAAGTTCTGCAATTCCTTCTTCAGATGTCAGTGTTGATGGGTACTATCCTTTGATTCGTCAAGACTCCAATAGTCACATGCTAGGTTTAGGGGTATACATACGCATTAATTCCCCTATTTGTCGTGAAATCAGGTTCGAATCCTTTGACCATTCTTTTATGTGCTTTCGCCTAGCACGTCTTCACTCTATCACCTTTCTCTTTGTTCTTTATCGTTCTCCTTCTTCCCATGATTGCACTCTCTTAGATGTTATATCTGATCAAATTGACCATGCCCTCTCTCTTTACCCCTCTGCCAATATTGTTGTTGTTGGTGATTTTAATGCCCATCACACTGAATGGCTTGGCTCTAACACCACTGATCCTGCTGGCACTAAAGCCTTTAACTTCTGTGTTTCTCAATCTCTTACTCAGATAATTAACTTTGTGACTCGTTTTCCTGACAACCCTAATCATTTACCTTCACTCGTTGACTTATGTCTTGTCTCTGACCCTAGCTTATGTTCATTTTTCCCTTTTCTCCCTTAGGTGGTTCTGACCATGCAATGATCTCTATAAATCTTTCTTCTCATACTTCTTTTTTGGGCTCACCTTATCATCGCACCACCTACTACTACCCTAAAGCTGACTGGGATTCCTTTCGTGATTTTCTTCGTGATGGTCCTTGGGCTGATGTTTTTTCTCTCTCAGCTGACAAATGCGCCTCCTACGTAACCTCCTGGATTCAGGCTGGAATGGAAGCTTTTATTCCTTCACGTTGGTTTCAAGTCAAGCCTCATTCTACTCCATGGTTTTCTCCTTCTTGTGCGGCTGCTATATCCAATCGTAATCATTTTTTTCATCTTTTTCGAAAAAACAACTCTCTTGAGAACAAACGGCTATTTATTATTGCAAGAAATCAATGTAAAAAGGTGCTTTCTGATGCTAAACTCCATTATTCTCAATTCACTAAATCTCGCATCTTATCAGGGTTGGCATTAAAAAACCCGCCCAATAAAACCCAAAAAAACCCGCCTAAAAAAACCCAATAAAACCCTGGAAAATCTGGGTTTTATTGGGTTTTTTTAAAGATATTTAATAAGTTTATGAACTATTATAACCAACTTTAACATTATAACTATAATATCATTTACTAAAATAACTATTAACTATTATTATTAACTTAATTATTATTAACTATTATTATTAACTATTATAACCACCAATAGCAGCTATCATAGCAGGTTTACTATTCTTTGAATCATTATTTGGAAATATATTATTACAATTTTTATTCAAATATTTTTATCGATTGAGATTTTTATTACTTTATGTTATTCACCTCCCAAGTTGAATTTAAATGAGTAGTAGTGACCAGAGAAGCCAACACAACAGTCGAGGAGGCTACCTTGTTGTGGTTACAACCCTCTCTCAACTCTTACGCGGTAGTGGTGTTGTGGTAGAGCGCTCACTTCATAAGTGAGAGGATCCGAGTTTGATCCCCACCACATCCCTGGCAGTACCGCATTCAACTCCTTTCTCCGCGCAACGGCCTTGTTTGTCAAGGTTCGTGTTTCGGAGTTATAGAGTTGAGAGAGGGTTATAACCACAAATAAGTAGCCTCCTTGCCTGTAGTGGCTTTAAGCCTTGAGGAGGTGAATTGATTTAAAAAAAAAAAAAAAAACTCTTTAACTCCTAAACATGAATCTTTATAAACAAGGCCGCTGCGCAGAGGAACAAGTTTGTTCATTTGAATTTCAAGTTCAAAGTTTAATTGAAACTTCAGTTACTACCTCCCATTCTCTAGCCTTCTTTTTCACATTTTCTCATTGACATTTTTAATTATATAATCAATGCATATAGATTAAGCGTGAAAATTTTTTTTTTCTATTACAGTTTTAAATTATATTTAAAAATCTTTTTCAAAAATTTTTCAATTTGAAAAATTTTTGTTATAGATAATTAAACAACAATATATAAAATATATTTTAAATAAAGTTTAAGTAGAAAAAAACTAATTTTCAATATCATTAAACAAAAACACAAAAAAAATTTTTACAGAGACCAAATAGAAATTAAGCCCAAAAAAACCCAAATTTACCCAATAAAACCCAAAAAAACCTACTGGGCCGGGTTTTTTTAAAAAAACCCAGGTTTTTGCCAACCCTGCATCTTATCGCAGAAGTTAGGCTCTAAAGACTTTTCGAAAATCTTTAACAGCATTGTTAACAAGGGTAGATCTAACATTCCATCTCTGTCCAATCTTATGGACATTCTCTTCCTTCCATTCCAGTCAAACAGGTTGACCCATTGTTAGACATTCAAATCACTTCGGCTTCTGTTGCTAAAGTCATATCTCAATTAAACTCGTCTACAGCTTGTGGTCCAGACAACATTTCTGTCACAGTCTTGCAGAATTGTTCTCCAAAACTTTCGTCAATTCTCTCTAAACTATTTAACAAGTGTTTGACTGAGTCTTGTTTTCCTGCTTGTTGGAAAATGGCATCTGTGGTTCCAATATTCAAAAACTCTGGAGAAAATTCTGACCCCTCCAATTATCGTCCGATCAGTCTTCTTTCTGTTATTAGCAAGGTCTTTGAGTCTTTGATCAACAAATTCCTCACATCTCATCTTGAATTCAAATAAACTGCTGTCAGACAATCAATATGGTTTTCGATCCTCTCGCTCTACGGCCGACTTGCTAACTGCTGTAACTGAAAGATTTTATCGTGCATTAGATGGAGGCGGTGAGGCTAGGGCTATTGCTCTCGACATATCTAAAGCTTTCGACAAAGTTTGGCATGCTGGTCTTCTCTATAAGCTAGCTTCATATGGTGTTTCTGGGAAAGTTCTTGAGATTATCAAATCATTTCTTTCTAACCGGTTTATTAAAGTCATCCTTGAAGGCCAACACTCTTCTTTATTTCCAGTAACTTCTGGGGTTCCCCAAAGTTCCATCCTGGGCCCTGTTTTGTTTCTTATCTACATAAACGATCTTAATGACAACCTTTCATCTAAAGTAGCTCTTTTTGCTGATGACTCAACTTTATACTCCTGTCTTGACAAAAAGTCTTCTCTTTTCAGTCGCCTAGAACAAGCAGCTGATCTTGAATCTGATCTCACTTCAGTAATAGATTGGGGTTCACAGTGGCTTGTGAATTTCAACTCTAAAAAAACCCAATTGCTTACTGCAAACAACTACCGTAATATGGTCAACATTCCTATATTAATGAATGGCAATCCTCTTACTGAGTCCTCCTCTTTACGTCTTCTTGGATTATCGCTTACTACTGACCTTTCATGGAAACCATATATACAATCGATTGCTAAATTAGCTTCTGCTAAGGTTGCTTCTCTTTATCGTGCTCGCCATTTCCTTACTTCTGATTCCATTCTCTACCTCTAAAAATCTCTTATTCGTCCCTGTATGGAATACTGTTGTCATATTTGAGCTGGTTCTTCTAACGATTCACTTTCTCTTCTTGACAAGGTCCAAAAACGCATTGTAAATGTTGTTGGACCTGGACTATCTGCTAAGCTTGAACCTCTTTCCCATCGTCGTAAAGTTGCATCTCTTTCACTTTTCTACAAATACTTTCATGGTCACTGCTCAAAGGAGTTATCATCTCTAGTTCCATCAACTAAAATTCATTCTCGTTTTACTCGTCATTCAGCTAAGTCTCATTCGTTTACTGTATCTGTCCCTGCATGCTCTTAAAACTTTTATTCATCTAGTTTTTTTCCACGCACTTCAACCCTTTGGAACTCTCTCCCATCTTCGTGTTTTCCTGACTCATACAACCTTCAACTTTTCAAGTCTTCTGTCAACCATTTCCTTGCTCTATAACTCTGTTCTTTTTTTTTCATAGTAACTCCCAACTTAATAGTGGTTGCTTGCAGCCTTGTTGGGAGTGAATGCAAATTAAAAAAAAAAAAAAAAATTAAAGCTTAGGTGATTTGATGTTGTCATAAATATAAAAATCATGATGAAAGTTCACCGGAATTATTAATGAATATTACTATTTGTTTAAAATTTAAATTAAACGTTAAACTTGGGTACCAAAGTTTACAAATTACTATTTGTCATTTGTTTAATGAAAATACTATTTGCTGGTGCTTATGTACGACATAAAAATTTGATACAGAAAACATGCAATGTGTGACAGATATTTAATGCAAAAAGTCTTCAATGTATTGCATGGATGAACCTAAGGAATATACTTATTTTTAATTAAATTATAAATTAAAATGGTATTATAATTCACTAAAAGTTTTAACTTTTAAAGTTATAAAACAATTTTTACCTCATTGCTCGTAAAATAATTTGATACAAATCTTTAGCATTACATATATTTTTTGGTACTGAAACCAATATAGGTGTTCCAAACAATAAATGATTGGAATAGCCATAAGAAGTGTAGGAATAACTTATTTCACTATAAAATAAAGGATTAGATTACCCATAAGGAGTGTAGAAATAACTTATTTCACTAAAACAATAAAGGATTAGAACAGCCATAAGGAGTGTAGAAATAACTTATTTCACTAAAAAAATTGAATTAGCAAAAACTAAAATAGATATTTAAACAAAACCAAAATAAAATAACAAATATAAATTTACCGAGTATGTCTCAAGTAAACAGGTATAATAAGAATATTTTCATTTTTGGAATTTGACAGATTAAAAGGAACTTCATATCTAAATTTAAAAAAAATTATAAAAAACTTGGATTTAAAATTGTTATATTTATTCTCTAAACCCTACTTTGTTACGATGTTAATGGTATGTATGTGTATCAAATTTATGCATAATTTGTTGGTTAAACTAATTTTAAAATTTGATTGTTATGTAATTTATATTTTATATACATAATTAATGTCTTAATTGGTTATAATCAACATTTTCAAAAACTATTTTGATTATTTTTAAATATGCGCTCATTTTACATATTTTTATTTCTACTTATTATTTGTATCTATTAATCAGTTTTTAATAAATGATTGTCAACTATTGAATGTAACCACGTTTTGTTTACAATTTTACTTTTTCCAACTTGATAGTTAGAACCTAAAATTTTTTACTACAAAATCAATTGAAAATGAAATAAGATTAATTTTCTTTAATAACCATTAATAATCTCATTAATAAATACAAAAAATAATAACATCTAATGTTATACATGTATAAAATGTATCATATTATACATATATATTTACATTTTTTTTTTTTACATTTATTTTGTAATTGAAAGCAATTTTATTTTGTATACAAACATAAAATAATCCCATAACTTAAATGCAAAAAGAAAAAAAAAGAAAAAAAAATTATTTACTATTATTAATTATTTTAAATGTAAACTAGAATATATGTTTTCCAAATAAAAATATAAGTTTTTTCAATTACAATATATGTAAGTTTTTTCATCAAAAAGTATGACATATTTGGTATATATGGAAAGATTATTTTAACCACTATTAAAAGTAATGCGACTATAAAAAATGGTCAAGCATAGTTTTATTTAGAAAAGATGTAATTTTCAACATAAAGTACCTTGGGGCTTGGCTATAGATAAGTCTATGGAAATGATTTTTTTATAAAAACACATATTGGTGTTTGTTTTCAATGAATGTAACTTGACATTTAATAAGTCCAGGGGAAAAAACGGCAGAGTCACATTTTTAGTGTTTGTATTATAAAAAGTCTTTTAAATTTTAACTTGAATGATAATTCAAGAAAAAAAACAAATGCTAACTTAAAAATTAAAATGAAAAAACCAGGTACAATGGAAAAAAAGGCAAAGTCCAATGTTTACATTAATTTATGTCCACATGGTCTTAAAATATCTGGCTTCACATGATCTTGATATCCAATGATTTTCCTTAAGCATTAAAAATATTTAATAAAGATGGCTGATTGTGATGAACTTGTTAAAGCTATGAGTAAAGCAAAAAAAAAAGAAAGTTTAAGGGAAGGTTGTCACAATTACAGAAAAAACAGAAACTTTCTGCTCATAAAACAGGTCCCGACTGTAATTGCATCAGATTTAAATGTTTTGAAGTATAAATGACGAAAACAGAGCTTTTTTATTGAAATCATTCACTTCAATTGCAAGCAAAGAAATGCAAGATTCTTTTCTTGCTGGACTTATAACGGTAACCAGCATAAAAAGAAGAAGACCAAGCAAATATAAAGCAAGTAGAAAAAATAGTTTTAGCTACCAATATAAATTGTTTGTAAACAATGATAAATCTCAATTTGTTCGAGTGTGTTTCAAAGCCTATATTTCTATATTTGGTATTAAAAAAGGTAGAGTGGAAACAATAAAAAGAAGTATTTCAACTACAGGTGCAGTGTTTTAGTATATAGCAATTTTATATAGAAGCATAATTATTTTAATAGCTCGAAAAGGCAACATTGTGTGAAAAAATTTTATTTTTAGAATAAAATTTACATTGATTTTACAACAAATGATGTGCGTGAAAAAATAATAACCCATATTTCATCATTCAGGGAAAGGCAGTCTCACTATTCTCAAGAGAAAACTAGACACATTTATTTACCTGAGGAACTGAATATAAATAAAATGTATAACATGTTGTGATTCTTCACCCAAATGTAAAGATTTGTTATGAGTCATACAGAACAGTATTTAACAATGAGTTTAATATTGCTTTTGGTTATCCTCGAACAGACACATGTTCTATGTGTGATGAACTAAAAATTAGAATTGATATTTGTTCTAAAGATATCTTAGCTAATCCTGAAGCACAAGATTTGAAGATTAAATTAAAAAAGTTGGAGTTTGAAAGAGATTTTCACCAAAAAAAGGCTGAAACTTTTTATAGAAGAAAAAAGTGAAGCTAGACTGAAAGCATTGAGAGAGCAAAACTTTGAAGCCATTACATTTGACTATCAAAAAAATTTAAATGTGCCAAATAACTCTACCAATGATTTTTATTATAAGAGAAAAATTTCATTTTTTTCTTTCAACGATATTGTTTTTTCATTCATTCATCAATCATTTTTTTCTTTCAACATTCATTTGTTAGCAAATAAAGATGTTTTTATCTATAGTTATGACAAAACTGTTGCAAAAAAGGGTGCAGATGAAGTGACATCAATACTGCATGATTTTTTATTCATCATTTAAGTCCATTAGTCAAAAAAAAAAATTTATCTGTAATTCTTGTGCCGGCCAAAATAAAAATTATACAGTCTTTAGGTTTTTGGATTATATGATTCAAAACAAAAAAAGATTTGTATCCATTAAAGTTACCTTTCCTGAAAGGGGACATTCCTACATGGAGTGTGACAAAGATATGGGTCTTATTAACCGCAAATCTCAAGTTAATATACTTTCTGATTGGGTTAAAATATTTAAAGATGCTTGCAAAAACCCGACTCCATTTCATGTACTTGAACCAAACTAGGACATGTTCAAAAATGTGACTCATTTCTTAAATCCTCTCTACAAAGCTGCATGTCCTGTAGCTACAAGACCTCTTCGAGAAGTGTTTTTTTTCTATTAATTCTCCTGGAATAATGTCTGATAGAGAATGTTGGAATGGTGAATATTTAAATATATTCATTAGTCGAAATGTAAGAAAAAAAAGAAAACTGCCAATATTAGAAAATATTAGGTCATTATTGACCAGAATTTTGGTCAATAATGACCTAAATTGCAGACAACCTAATTATCATTTAGTATTGGAAATATCCCAACATTTTTGATGAAAAGAAGGTAGTATAATTTAAGGAAATAAAAATATTGCAAAAATCTATATTCTATTATGATTTTATGAATAAATATGAATAAAAAAGGGAAAAAAACGTTTTGCAATGAAAAAACCAGCATAGTCCGTTTTGACCCTACTTAAAATATTCAGTAATAAAACTTGTATTTTCTTAACCGAAATAAATATACCTTGATTTTACCTTATTGAAATAGTAACTAAGGTGGAATTAATTTTAAAAAAGTCACTTTGTTATCAACTTATTATTAAAAAACGATTTTAAAACTTAAAAATTGAATTTCTCAAAACGAATAAAATGTGACTGCCGTTTTTTCCCCTGGACTCTTCATTAATAACCAGACATTATTTGGGAAAATTATCCATGAAAAACCATACTTTTATGAAAATTGAAGTTATTATTTTCAACACCACACCTAAATAATTATGTTTAACAATAATGCCTTGTTAGATTCAGATAAACTATGGTAATGTTAACTTTTCTACAAAAGTCGTTTTTACATAAATAATCATAACTTTTAGCCCTATTTAAAAAGCTGTTTTTGGTATTTAGCATCAATTTTAGAAATACTCGGGACTTATTCGGCCATCTTGAAAAAATAACTCATTCCATTAGGCGGTAAACTTTATAAACAAACTACTTTCATTTTCAAACTGGCTACGTTTTTATATCAGTAGTAAACTTTGATTGACATTTGGTTTCTTTAATTTTTATAACAATAATTTAAAATATAGCAAAAACATTTCCACTAACATAAGAAAAGTCTTTTTAAAACTAAAACATAAAAAATAACACAAATTTTTTAATTGAAATACAATTAAATTTACAGTTGCAAAAAAAAATATGGAAAGAACTACAAAAATTTACAATAATTTGCTAAACAAAAAGAAACGGTAAATGAAAAAAATCAGAAAATTGTAACTAAAAAAAAGAAAAAAAGCAATTCCCAATGAGTGGAAAACGTTTATCAAAAAACATGGCATTTAAATGTAGTTTCCTTTAAGAATGTATCTGATAAAAAAAACATAAGCAATCCTTTAAAAAAAAAGTATTTAAAAGACATCATGCTATCAAAATACATAGAAGAATTAAAAAACAAAAATATTGATGATTTTATATTAAATCAGTCCACCCTTAAATCAGCACATGCATACAATATTTCCAAAACCTGCAAACTTTTGCCTGCAAGAAAAATTGGAAATAATTACACATCCAAATAAAGAATGTTTGTTAAACAAAAAATTGGAACTGATTTCTAAATGCAGCCACGAAAATAAGTTTCCCATAAAAAACTATAAAAACAAGTGAGCTCAAAAAACAATTATATTAAATCCTCCTTCAAAAATATTTTTAAAAAGAAGCAGCAGTAAACAATTCTAAAGATTTCTTTTTATACACTCTTCACCTCTTTTAAGCCGAAAGGGTCTCTAAAGTGATGCTATTGTGGTTACAAACCTCTCTTAACTCTTTAACTTCGAAACCTTGACAAACAAGTTATCTGCATCAAGAAACAAGTTGAGAGCGGTACTACCAGGGACATAGTGGGGAATGAACTCTGAATTTTTCACTTTTTCTTTTTTAAGTTTAAATTCATCTTCCCTAGGCCATGAAGGCCACTACCGTCAAGAGGCTACTTTAGTTGTAATTACAGCCCTCTCTCAAATCTATAACTTTGAAATATGAACTTCAATGAACAAGGCTGCTACGTGGAGAAACAAGTTGAACGCTCCACTACCAGGAACGTGGTGAGGAAACTTCTCGCTTATGAAGTGAGCACTCTACCACTGCATCAGTACTGCATTGAATATTAAAAACAAAATTTCAGAAAAGTTGTTTTTTTATTAAAGACTAATCACTAGACTTATTTTAATAAAATTTTGACATAATGATAGACACTATGTATTTTATAGTATTATCAGGAGCTCCCTCCAGAAATAAGGGTGAGTCAATTTCCTCAGCAGACAAGTTTAGATCATATTCAGTTTGGATGCATGTTTTAGTAATTTCATATCTGCTTTGTTTTAAGGGGTTTGCCTTGAATATAAAATCTATTTCTGTTTTTTTTTTTTAATGAACTCATGTTACCGAATGCCGAGGGGTAACATCTGTTGAGAATGCTACTCATTTTTTTTTTAATTTTTGATTTCTTCAACCCTCTCTCAACTCCAACCCTCTTTCAACTCTTTAAACCCAAAACACAAACCTTGACGATTAAGGCTGATGTGCAGAGAAGCAGGTTGATATACATGAAACATGTAATAAATTTTATAATTATCACTTTTAATTGAAAATTATTAATTTTTGAAGATAACTGAAAGATATATGGAAATTTGAAATTGTACCCAAATTTAACTGAAAGCTAAATTTCTATTTCAAATTTGACAGCAAAATCAAAGCGAAAGCAAAAGAGTTGTGTTAGCAAAGTAAAAGAGACTTAGACTCACTAATAGAATTAATTAAAGCAAAGTCTGATATTTCTTCAAAATCTAAAGTTACTGACTTTAATTTCAATTTTTGTTCCTGAGAGTTGGAACATTAACTATACACAAAACTTTCGTCTTACCTAAGAATGAAGAATGAAAAAAAAAGTCAGTTGAATACTCTTGAGTGTGTCCAGAGAAGATACAGTTAGTCTCAATTCAGATTGATTGTAAAATACAACATTTTCAAAAAAAAAAATAATTAATATAGAAGATCTTTATTTTGAGGTCAATGATCTTTTCTTTGATATCAAGAGTTATTTAAGTTTTGTTAATTAAAGAGATGTACTCCTATTAAAGTTGCTTATGGTCTACAGTAAGTGATAATTGCCCAGATATTGACATACTAAAATTATATTTACTACTTTGTTTGATAAACATAGTATTGAAGAAATCATATAAAAAACAGTGACAAAAAAACATGATAAAGTTTCAGTAACTCTTCCAGTGACTTAATTAAAAAAGCTTGTTAACAAATAAACCAATTAGGGGACCATTATATACCCAAAAGGGATCACTATATACCCAAAAATCAAGCAGCGTATTTGCAGCTTGCAGCATCTAAAAATAATATTACAGAGTAATCTTTTTTTAAATTTCTAATAATTCAAGATACAGTACAAGGTTTCTATTGGAACAAAAGCCAAGCAACATTGCATCCATTTGTTAATTACTTTTTGCAATTAACAAATGGATTTTTGAAAAAAATACCATAAAATGTAAGTGTTTGTAATGATATAAATACTTTTACTATATCAGATCATTTGCGACACAATATAAACTCCATTCATTATTTCATTCATGAAGTAATAAAACATTTTGAATAGGTGATACCTTACTTCGACCACTGGATTTATTTCAGTGATGGCACAGATTTACAATACAAAAAATATAAAAAAACACATCTAACTTAAGTCACATGGAAAAAGTGCTTGTCATGGAGTTGGGAGCTCTGTTAAAAGACCTGTAGCAAGAACAAATTTAACACTAACAGGTCCTATCAATTTACCTGAGAAAAAATATGATTGGTGTAGACAAAAATATAAAAGAAATACATTTTCAATACATTTCAAACAATGTAATTATATTAGATTGCATAAACATCAAGTTAGAAAAACATGCTACTTTTTCAACAATTCCACGAACAAAACCACTACTGTTTTATACCACAATCATTAACTTCTATAATGAGATGGGTGTCATTGTACAATGTGTATACTAATGCAAATGATTTTAGGCAATATCATGAAAATATAGAAAAAAATATTTATCAAGGCAATAAAGCAGTCCTCATAAAGAATTGCTGAGTTCTTATCATGCACATTTAATGCAAAATTTTATCTTTAAAAGTTCAATCAGCAACTGCTGATGCTATGAACTATAAGCTCAATAAAAAAACTAAATATTGCGTTTGTACAACAGCATATCTAATAAAATAACTATATAACAAGAGAGCAAAGTTGTTATATATATATACATATATATATATATATATATATATATATATATATATATATATATATATATATATATATATATATATATATATATATATATATATATATATATATATATATATATATATATATATATATGTATATATATATATATAAATAAATTAGTAGAAAATCACTTAGCAAAATTTTTTTTTGAAAAAAATTTTGCTAAGTGATTTTCTACTAATTTGTAATTGCTTTGTTCTTTTAAGAACATTGAGCACTCTTTTTGTATAATACATTTTAAATTGTTTAAATATATATATATATACACACTTACTAAAGCGTGTTTTGATAAGCATTTGCTCACTTTTAGTGCGCACTTCAAGGTAAACTGTTTTTTTCGAAAAAGAAGAAGAAAAAAACGAAGAATGATAAATAAAACGATTGCTTCCCCATCCCAAACCCTCAGTCGATGTAGCAGCACTTGACTGCGAGTCAGGCTATTTGTCAGTCGTTGTATGTACTGAAGCCCCCAGCAGCCGGCTATTTTAGTATGACGTCAGATTGCTTACCAAAGTAAGCAATACTATTTGTATATATATATATATAATATATATATATATATATATATATATATATATATATATATATATATATATATATATATATATATATATATATATATATATATTGTTATTCACCTCCTCAAGGCCAAGAAAGCCACTACACAGGAGGAGGCTACTTAATAGTGGTTATAACCCTCTCTCAACTCTATAACTTCGAAACACAAACCTTGACGAACAAGGCCGCTGCGCAGAGAAACAAGTTGAGCCCGGAACTACCAGGGACGTGGTGGGGATCGAACTCGGAACCTCTCGCTTATGAAGCAAGTGTTTTACCACTACACCACTACTGCATATAACAAAAGAGCAAAGTTGTTATATAACAAAAGAGCAAAGTTGTTATATAACAAGAGTGCAAAGTTGTTATATAACAAGAGAGCAAAGTTGTTTTATAACAAAAGAGCAAAGTTCCTATAAATTTGGTCTTGAAAATTTCAGCGTGAAATCTGGTTTTCTCATCAATCCAAACCTACCCACCAAGCTTTATTAAAATCTGAGGTAGTCCATGTTAGACGTAAGTCTACTTAGCATAGAATGACTCTATAGCAGGTAATGGAACTTGGATGATAATGTAACTATGCAAAAATATAATTGTCAACCAAATAATCTTACATCGTAATATCATCTCTATCTGTTATTTGACTTAGACTTTCATTAGGTTCATATATCTTATGAAACTTGGAACCAAATACATCAGCAACCATTAACTAAAAAAATAGAGTTAACAAAATCATAACAACAGAAATGTATAGCATTATAGTTTTTCAAACGACTAAATGCTTTATATATTGTTAAACCTTATTAGGGTCAGTTGATGTAAGATTGCCAACAGCGCTTGTCAAATCAAGTATATTTCCAAGTTTTGGAACTATCGCTTTAACCTAGAAAAAAGATCAAAACTTATAACAAACTTATAACAAATAAAAAAATTCATAAAAATAATAAAATGACAATTGATAATAACAAAAACAAATAATACTTTTAACGGTGTTTTAGATGTGTCCAATGGAATGAATTTTATCCCAAGGTTGCGTTCTTTTTTTATTGGAAGAGGAAGAGATAAATAGCAGAATGGATCAAATGTCATTGATTTCTAATAAATTATTATTTGAATGAAAAAAATAAAATAGTTTATACTATAAAAAATAAATCAAAATGGGGGCTGTATGTATGTATGTATGTATGTATGTATGTATGTATGTATGTATGTATGTATGTATGTATGTATGTATGTATAGGAAAAAAATTTAGTTTTAAATGCAGTAGCATATAAATAATTCTCAGTTTAATTTAGCTACCTCATTTTTTCTTCAGGAAAATAAAAAGAATTTAAAAGAAATTGCTTTTTTACATAACTACCTGAGTAATTTGCCTTCGGTTATTAACTGGACATAACTTTTAAAAAAATAAAAGTCATTAAAAAACTTAATTTTAAAACCACGTTGCAAAATTTTATAACAATCGAATGTATATAAGATTTGCTTTTTTGAAAATTAAAGCGTTTTTAAATATCCATTCAGCGTAAAGTTAATTTTTCTTTTTGACAATTAAGAGTAAACTACTTTTAATAATAAATGAACAAAAGTAAAAAAAATCAGTCCTTATAACTATCGCGCAAATTTAATTTTTAAATGAATGAACTTTTGATCTTTAGCTTACTATTTTAGTTTACATAAGGAAAAGGAAAAAACAAAGTATAATCTTTTTCAGACAGTTTTTTTTCCTTTCAATATTCTTATTAAAATATTAAAAAAAAAAGGTTTTAATAACTTAATAAAAGTTTTATTTAGATCTGTTTAAAATAACCCATAGTAAATGTAATTTATTTATTTAAATGTAATTTTTTAAATTTTTCTTAATAATTAAAAATATGTTTTGTTTTAAATATGTTTTTAAAAATATAATATGGCTTTTAATCAAAATAATAAAATATTTTTTAAATTATGTTAACTGTAATTATCTCTTTAATTATCTTTAATTTAAAAGCCACCTAAAAATTACTTTAAAAACTATAACCTTTAGTAAAAGTTAAATGAACTATTTTACTAATATTTAAATCAAAATTTTAAATTTAAAATAATTGAAAATAAGTTTATTAAATGCTTATATTTTTATTCGAATAGTTTATTAAATGTTTATCAAATTTGTTAATTAAATGCTTATGTTATTAATTCAAATACAAGGACGTAAAACTATTTTGTTAATTTTACAAATATTACGCAATACAACATATGTAAATTTATATGTAAATATATTATGTAATGTAAATATTGATTAAAAATCAGGGTTGGCATTAAAAAACCCGCCCAAAAAAATCTGCCTAATAAAACCCAATAAAACCCTGGAAAATCTGGGTTTTATTGGGTTTTTTTAAAGATATTTAATAAGTTTATGAACTATTATAACCAACTTTAACATTATAAATATAATATTATTAACTAAAATAATTACTAACTATTATTATTAACTAAATTTTTATTAACTATTATAACCAACAATAACAGTTATCAGAGCAGGTTTACTATTATTTGAATCATTATTTGGAAATACATTATTACAATTTTTATTCAAATATTTTTATCGATTGAGATTGTTATTACTTTATGTTATTCACCTCCCAAGTTGAATTTAAATGAGTAGTAGTGACCAGAGAAGCCAACACAACAGTCAAGGAGGCTACCTTGTTGTGGTTACAACCCTCTCTCAACTCTTACGCGGTAGTGGTGTTGTGGTAGAGCGCTCGCTTCATAAGTGAGAGGTTCCGAGTTTGATCCCTACCACGTCCCTGGCAGTACCGCGCTCAACTCCTTTCTCCGCGCAGCGGCCTTGTTCGTCAAGGTTCGTGTTTCGGAGTTATAGAGTTGAGAGAGGGTTATAACCACAAATAAGTAGCCTCCTCGCCTGTAGTGGCCTTAAGCTTTGAGGAGGTGAATTGATTAAAAAAAAAAAACTCTTTAACTCCTAAACATGAATCTTTATAAACAAGGCCGCTGCGCAGAGGAACAAGTTTGTTCATTTGAATTTCAAGTTCAAAGTTTAATTGAAACTTCAGTTACTACCTCCCATTCTCTAGCCTTCTTTTTCCCATTTTCTCATTGATATTTTTATTTATATACCATGCTACTTTCAACTCTCTTCCCGAATATGCTTGTCAAGTTTAGGATAAAATCAACCTTGAATTAACAGTAAAGTCAAACTTAAAGATTGTAAATTTAGATGTTACGTTTAATTTATTGGATTGTTCCTATCGACTATACAGAAAACCAGGTGACCACCTACTGTACATTAACATTAATATTACCAAATCCATACCAACAATGTTATCCAAACAAATTAACAATAATTCATCCAACAAAGACATTTTTTAAGATGCACCTTTTTATAATAATGCCTTGCCAACAAATGGTTATCAAGAAACAATCTTTTATAAACCAAATCGTACCACAATGAAATCAAAACTTTCCAAGTTTATGTGGGAAATTAAAAAAAAGAATATACAAATCCTTTTATAACATGGAAAATTATTGAGAAGGAGCAACTGATTAAACCCGACAGAAAATTATGCAACCTTTGCTTAACTGAAAAGTACCACATAATAACATCAAAATTAAAATAATTAAACAAAAAAAAAAGAACAAAAAAAAAAATGTTGCAGTGAAAACAAATTTTTTATCAACAACTTTAACGTTATCAAAGCATCATTATCACAAGTTGGTATATTAATAGTGCCACATAATTTACTAAATGTATTAAAAATGGATGGAATAGACATGAGTTTAAAAAAGTAGAAAGAAAAGTTTATCCCTCCCTTTATTGATCACTCCTGATCAAGGTACAATAAAATAAATTAAAGTACAAAAACACATGCATAAATCAAACATATTTGTTAAATAAAGGAAACTTCTAAATTTATTTATCAAACTTATTTGTTGAATAGAGAAAACTTCTAAATTTATTTATCAAACTTATTTGTTGAATTAAGAGAACTTCTAAATTTATCTATCAAACTTATTCATTGAATTAAGAGAACTTCTAAATATATTTATCAAACTTATTAGTTGAATAAAGAGAACTTATAAATTTATTTATCAAACTTATTAGTTGAATAAAAGGAACCTCTTAATTTATTAATATAGTAGCATTAAAAAACAAATAGTTCTAATATTCAAACATTATAATAATTCCAAAAAATTAGATTGAGACATCTTAAAATTTAAATTTAGATAAATAAGAAAATAATATTTAGTTAAAAAATTGGTTTAAAAAAATGTTGGTTTGAAGTTTACCAAAATACTTTTTTTAAGAAAATATTTTCTAAATAAAATACTTTTTGACAAACTGGACATTTAACAGTGGATTTAAACAAGCCATGAAAAAGGTCAACAATAATTGAACTATTTCTTAATGTATGATTGCTCCATGCTTCTTCAGCACATATCTAAAAATTATTTATAAAAAATATCATTTCAAAATTAGATTAGATTAATACAATTAAAATATATATATATATATATATATATATATATATATATATATATATATATATATATATATATATATATATATATATATATATATAAAGGGCGCGACAAATCCTTTTTTTTAATAAACGTTGACGTTTGTATCTTTATTTATTGAGTAACATCTAATTTAAGAGGTATATGTCAAATGAGCCAGTTTATTGTTAATTCTTTCAATTTTAATTTTTTTTATTCAAACAATTTTTTATTAAATTATAAGGAAGTTTTATTTTCAAACAACTTTTATTCTAGTTAATAAGTTATTAGATATACCAATGATGCTTATTGAATTTTATCAATTTTTTATTAATTTGAAACAATTTTCCACACTTTTGCAAAATGCCTGCAAATTAATTAAAAATAATATGCAATAAACTAATGACTGTAAACTTTTTCCATTAATACAAATTAGTAAATTTTTCTCAATTTAGTTTGTTAAATTTATTTACTTATAAAAAAAACGCACAAACTTGAAGAAATTAAAATAAAGATAACTAAAAATAAAACAAAAGTTGTTTTAACGGTTTTTTTTTCAAACCTTTAAAAATAATACTATAATATTAAGTATTTAATAAGTTATTATATTAAGTTATTATTAAATACTTAATATGATATTATTATAATACCATATGAATATCATTATTATAATTATAGTATTAAATTAATAATAATAATATAATATTATTGGTGTTTTTTTTTTAAATTTCTATTCTATGGATTATATGTCTTTTACCATTGCTGGTGAATAGAAGTGCAGTATAAGATACAAGTAGTATAAAAAATTATTATAAATACAATATATAGGATATTAATAATTTTAAATAATGTTTAGTCTTTCTTTTTTTCTATTTTTTTTGCTAATGTAGAAGTTGATATAGTTATTTAATCTGTTTATGTTGACATTAAACCTAATGTTGTTAATAATTGTATGTGTTATAATTGCGTTGATATTATCTACTAAAAATAGATCCTTAAATTCTTTTGGTTTTAATTTGATGTTGTTATTGCAATGCTTGTTAATTATATTGCTGAAAAAAGTCTTAAATGTCTGTTCATCATGTTTGTTGGATACTTTGAAAGATAAAAAGTTTTTATTTCTAGTATTGTACTTGATGTTATCAATGTTAATAAAATGAAATTGTTTAAATAAGTTAATCGGTTTCTTGTAATAAATTATTTTATTGTATAGTTGTAATGCTCTGTATATAAATCGATGATGAAAACTGTATAGGTTGTATGGTTTAAGTTGTTGATTTATTTGAAATATATCTTTGTTTTGAATATTAATTTTGAGTAGTAAGAATAAAATTATGTAGTATGCATTGCTAAGAAATGAAATATGCATTGCTAAAAATGAAAACTATAATAAACATGATAGTTCTATATATTTTATTAAATTATATATATTTAAAAATCTTTTTAAAACTTTTAAAAGTATTTATAGTAAGCAAACAAATTTATTTAACTTAAAAGTATTAAACTTAAAACTTAAAAAAAGTTAAACTTATTTTAAAAGTGTTAAACTTATTTAACTTAAAACTATTAAAGAAAGTAATCATGCTTAAGGTTTCTTTTGAAAAAACGTTTTAAATTTTAGTTACTAGTTTATAATTTTTTATAAATATGTTTTTTTGTAAATGAAAAAGCATAATTTTTGGAAAAAAAATTACTGAAATAATGCGTTATAATCATTTTTAAAAGTTCGCACGTTCGTCGATTTGTTGCGCCCTGATATATATATATATATATATATATTATTTTGAAAACCTCATCAGGTCTTCCTTTATCATCTTGAAGTTCAATGTATGGCTTCTGCTTTACTCTGTTTAAATCTTCATGTAAACCATCAAGCAAGAAAGCTAAAAGCTCATGCGAATCTTGCTGCTGATAGCCAGAAAATTGAGGGGCAAATCTTCCAACTTGCATCTAAAACAAACAAACAGAACTTAGACAAAATTAACATAACTAAAATATTCAAAATGTTCTACATTGCTTACCCTATTATAATCAACTTGCCCATCGTTAAATAGTTGATAGCATGAAGCATATTTATTAGCATTGTTAGAGTTGCAACATAGATTATAATATGAGTATGAGGGGGTAATTGAAAAGAATTTATATCTATTGTTGCATCATAAGTAAAAATTAATTTACAAATTTGCCTTTTAACTTAATATATTTTCAAATTTAAATAAATTTATATTTCAAATTTTCTTCTAAAATATCCAAAACATTTATAAATTGTTTAAGATTTTGATCAAAATTTCAGTTAAAAAGTGTTATACTAAAAAGTGTTAAACTAAAAAATTAAAAAGGTCCCATTCATTTACATAAAGTAAATAAAAATAAAAATTTATTGATGTGTTTTTCAATTAAGACCATCTCATATCTTTAAATGTGCTTTTCAAATGGGACCACCTCTTATCTTTATAAATCTTTTATTAAATAAGCCAAATGTTGCTTTTGATAATATTGTCCACCAATTTCTTTTTATTTTACTTTTAATATTTTTTTTTAGCTGAGACAAGCATATATGATCCAAAAAAAAAATTCTTAGTAAAACTTGTCTATAGTTAAACTCTTGAGACAGAGTTGACTTGGTTAAGAATTTTTCTGTGAAAATTTATCACACTTACTCTTTATTTTCAAAATTTACCAGGATAAGTATAACAACTAATTTACCAGGATAAGTATAACAACAAAACAAATCATTTAAAACAAGTAAAAACTAATGGGATCTTTAGACAACTTTAATTATGACATCATTTAATTATGAAAATCAAGTTTATTACATTTTAAATTTTAAAATGTAATAAACTTGATTTTTAAATTTTAAAATCATCAATATACCAATATAATCTTTTTTTTTTTATTACCCAACTAACAATAATAAAAACTGCAATGTTAAATGATAGTATTACTGCAATATTTGTATTTAAAATTCAAAAAAACATCAACTTCCAACCTTAAAATTTCTGGGTGTAAAATAAGTGTTAGATCCCCAAACATGATGTAACAGCTCAGCATATGTTTCAGCAATTTTGCCTTGCATTCCAAGTGGGTTATTTGGATTAAGCTCATGCTTGTAGGTATTCGCTACATACAAGTTTTAAAATTTTATTTGCTAAATTTATTCATTAAAATCATTAAAAATGTTAAAACAACATACATAGAAAATATTTTGTGAGAGGTGTGGTGTTACTCAAACATTGCAATGCAGAATTCATAAAACAAGTATTTCCAATGTTTGCCAAGCCACATAAGCCAGGTTTTGTTGTTCTATGCTGTTCATAACTCATGCTTGAATAGCTGCATGTAAAAAAATTAAAAGATGAAAAATTTATAGCACAGTTTATTATCATCATTAAAAATTTGTTTGCTTACTCATTTATTTTTAGTGCAAAATCACCAGAACATAATTAAGAAATCATCATTAGGATTTTTTAATTTTAACATAAATACTTATTAAAATCACCATGACCTAACCTTACATTATAGTTAGTTCTATACATACATATATCTCAATAAAATAAAATTAAACTAGAATTTTTTTTAAATCTGATTTATTCAAATTTTTATTAAATAAATCAAACAAAACGAAAATTATAAAACAAAAGTTAGAAGTATTGAAAAATGTATCAAGATTCAACAATTACAAGCAATAAGATAAATATGTATTAATGTATTATAAATTAACATTCATAAACAATAAATAAGATAAAAAATTCTAGCTGTTTTAATTGCAGTATCATACATCAAATACAGAAACACTCCAAGATTTGTATTCATAAACATTCTTTGAACAGCGCATCATGCAAAGGAAAAGATTCAAGTATCATCAATTATCAACGATGAATCTTACATAGCATTACCCCCAAAAAAAACCTAATTACAGTTAGATGTACCACTAAATGTTTTATAATAAAATAACAATGAGCTTCAAAAGTTAAATTATAAAAACTTTAACATTTCACTGGTTCCTAATATTTTGATAATAATTTATACAAAAATATACCACTACCACCTCCCCCCCCCCCTATCAACCACTACCACCTTCCCCCTAACAAAAATATTCCCTATCCACCTCAACAAAAAAATTATATAAAATTTCATAAACACTAATCATATTTATTTTTAAAAACGGAAGTAAACATGAGGCTGTTACTGTTAACTAATTTTTTTAATCATAGGATTCCTGTTAACTCTTCTACAAATGAGCATATAAATGTATTTAAATTAATCAATAACTTGACATAATGGTAGACACAGACATAGATTGCATCCAAAGCTGATACCTTTCTACGAAATTGCATTTTGACAACGTGAAAAAAAAAGAGAGTAGGAAATGAATGTTAGTGTTTACTTTTAGATTGATTTGAATGAACAAAATAACTTTGAAAGTGAATCAAATTTATTTTTATATACATATACATATTTATATATTTTTATATACATATACATATATATGTATACATATATATGTATATATATATATATATATATATATATATATATATATATATATATATATATATATATATATATATATATATATATATATATATATATATATATATATATATATATACATACATATATGGGCGTAGTATACTCAAATTTTCAAGGGGGGCAAAAAGTTAAAGATTCGCATTTTTTCAGAAATATATGTCTAGTGTTTATTTTATTTTTTTTATATAGAAATAAAAAGTAATAACTTTGATTTTGGTTAACTAGCATCAAGAAATTAAAGAAAAACAAGTTTAGTTCGAACTTTTACTTGGTTTCCAAATAAAACATTCTACAGGGCATATCGTTTTTTTAAAAAAAACATGTCTAACATAAAATCCATTTCAAGACTTTGAGTAATTCTTTATGGATATTCATTACAAATTCTTTATGGGTATTCATTAAAGCCTTTCCTGGCTCATGGTCAATAAAAGAAACGTTTTTAGTCTACGGAGACTACTAAATAATTATTCTGCTGTACAAGTTGATACTGGCTAGATAGATGGCTAGACCAGAATTATTTTAATAAAAAGAACAATTTTTGAGGCAATTCTTTTCAATCCAATTTGTTCTTTAGTGCGAATGAAATCTAGAACTGATTGAAAATCTTCCGATTGAACTTTTTTTCTGTTAGGTTCGTCAATGAAATGGTCCCGGTGAAGTCTTTGATAATTAGGAAAATTATTCTTTTAGAAGTTTTTTATGTAGTTAATTTCAGTGTTATTTGATCCAATCACAAACTCTTCGATCCTTGTTCAATAACAAGTGGTTTCAGTTGATTCAAATCTATCGGTGAGGCCAACTAAAACTGCATCTAAACCGGTAAAGTGTAACTGCTAATTGATCTTATTTGGATCCTTTGGCTGATAATAAGTATCCTTGAAGACGACTTCAAATCTTGCAGGTATAAATTCATCATTTTAGCAGATTCAGTTGCCGCATCAAAAAGTGCTTTGAAACGTGAATACGAAAAAATTTCAAAATTTGTTTCAGGGTCATATGGATTCAGCCTTACTAAATTTAAGTTAACTCCCCTGAAGTTGAATGCTTGAACTTTCTAGGATTGTAAAAATGATTCAAATAAATTCCAATTTATAAAATGTGTCAAAAACCTGAAAAGAAGACAAAAAGGTCATTGCTTCCACTCAGCATTTGGTAAAGTCAGGGTTAATGGTAAGGTCTTCCAGTCAAACGTGAAGTTTTCTGTAGAAAACTTCTGTAAGTTACCAGTTACCAGTAATAGATATTAGAGATAACTTGGGCATTATCCATCTGGTTGGTCAAAGAAGTTTAAATAATGTTTCAATAATGGTGTAGATTTTCGCTTCCATTTTGGTCTTTTAGGCATGAAAACCAAGCAAGCCTCATTAGTGAGTCTATGATAAAAGCTATGAACTTATGAACAATATTTTGACATGATACTTTCTATTTCGTAGAAATTACTTTAAAGCACTAGTATACAGCGTGAAACAAATCTTAAATTGAGATCAAAAGACAATCTAAAGTTTTATTTTATCTAAAAAAGCATTTTTATATGAAAAAAATTAAACTACTTTTTCAAGTTTTTATTTTAAAAACAATTTTTTTGGTATGTTTATAGCGAAAGATGATTTCTTTTTTTGCTTTTTAATTGATTTCTTTCTCTAATTTCTTCCTCTGTTTAAAAATAAAAAATTGAAACAATATTTATTATAAGATTAGATAAAATTTCAAGGGGGGCAAACGAATTTTCAAGGGGGGCAAGATTAACTCAATGGGGGCAGTCTGCCCCCGTTACATATATATATATATATATATATATATATATATATATATATATATATATATATATATATATATATATATATATATATATATATATATATATATATATATATATATATATATATAGGCTCTCGAGACTTCTGGAGAATCTTTAACAGTATCAATAATAAGGGCAAATCTGTTATTCCTTCTCTCTTGTATGGTTCAGACTTTGTCACCTCACCTAAAGACAAAGCTGAATTATTTGCTAAGAACTTTTCATCAATATCATCTCTTGATTCCACTAGTTGCATTTTACCTGACATAGCCGTCAAACAGGTTGATCCCTTGCTTGACATTCGCATCACTTCAGCTTCTGTATCAAAACTAACTTCCTGCTTAGACTCTTCAACAGCTTGTCGTCCTGACAACATTCCTGTTGTAGTCTTGCAAAGGTGTTCTCCGGAGCTTTCATCCATACTTTCTAAACTATTTAACAAGTGCTTATCAGAGTCTTGTTTTCCATCATGCTGGAAAGCAGCATCTGTTATCCCTATTTTCAAAAATTCCGGAGAGCGATCTGATTCATCTAACTACCGTCCCATTAGTCTTCTTCCTGTCATAAGCAAGGTTTTTGAATCTTTAATCAACAAACACTTAATCTCTCATCTTGAATCAAATAACTTACTTTCTGATCATCAATATGGATTTCGGTCTTCTCATTCTACAGCTGATGTGCTAACAGTAATAACCGATAGGTTTTACCGTGCATTAGATAGAGGTGGAGAGGTTAAGGCTATCGCACTTGACATTTCTAAAGCTTTTGATAAAGTTTGGCATGCTGGTCTTCTCCATAAGCTTTCTTCTTATGGTGTAGCTGGTAACGTCTTTAAGATTATTGAGTCCTTTCTTTCCAATCGTAGTATAAAAGTTGTCCTTGATGGACAACACTCTTCTTCACATCCTGTAACTTCAGGGGTTCCTCAAGGTTCAATCCTTGGCCCTATACTCTTTTTAATTTACATTAACGATCTTCCAGATATTCTCACATCTAAGGTGGCATTATTCGCTGACGACACTACCATTTACTCTTGTCATGATAAGAAGCCTACACTCTCTGATTGCTTGGAGGGGGTATCTGAGCTTGAAAAGGATCTCACTTCTGCTACCGCATGGGGCTCACAGTGGCTGGTGAACTTTAATTCAGATAAAACTCAATTTTATTCGGCCAATCGTTATCGTAATAATTTAGATCTTCCTATATTTATGAATGGTAATGTACTAGATGAGTCATCTACCATTCATCTTCTAGGATTAACTCTTACTTCTGATCTTTCTTTTAAACCGTATATCAAATCCATTGCAAAATTAGCATCTGCTAAGGTTGCATCTCTTTATCGAGCTCGACACTTTCTTACTCCAGATTCTATTCTCTATCTCTATAAATCTCAAATCCGTCCCTGTATGGAATACTGTTGCCACATCTGGGGCGGATCTTCTAATGATGCTCTTTCTCCTTTAGACAAGGTGCAAAAACGAATTGTAAACATAGTTGGACCTGCTCTGGCAGCCAATCTCCAACCTTTGTCACATCGTCGTAATGTTGCTTCTCTTTCTCTTTTCTACAAATACTATAATGGGCACTGCTCTAAAGAGCTAGCGTCCCTTGTGCCATCTACTAAAATTCATTCTCGTGTTACTCGCCATTCAATTAAGTCTCATCCTTTTTCTGTGACTGTTCCTAAGTGCTTCAAAAACTCTTATTCTTCTAGTTTTTTTCCTCGAACATCAGTTCTTTGGAATTCGCTTCCTTCATCTTGCTTTCCTGATTCATATAATTTGCAATCTTTTAAGTCATCAGTCAATCGTTATCTTGCTCTACAGATTTAGTCTTTTCTCTTCCAGTAACTTCCAACTCTTATAGTGGTTGGTTGCAGCCTTGTTGGAAGTGAAGATGTTAAAAAAAATATATATATATATATATATATATATATATATATGTATATATATATATATATATATATATATATATATATATATATATATATATATATATATATATATATATATATATATACTGGAAAATTCAAGCTTATTAAGACAGAACATTTACTAATTTTTATTTTTTGGGATGGGGAAGCAATCATTTTATTCATCATACTTTGTTTTTTCTTCTTTTTCGAAAAAAATGGTATAGCTTAAGGTAAGCAAAAAAAGTGAGCATAGGCTTATCAAAAAATATATATATTTATATATATATATATATATATATATATATATATATATATATATATATATATATATATATATATATATATATATATACACATATATAAATGCATGTATATATACAGTGAGGCTCAAAAGTTTGACAGGCGTATATTTTGTGAAAAACTGCTGCATTGCCATCAAAAACAAAAAAGAAAAGCAAAATATTGCAAATTTCTTTTTGATATATAATTACTTTTTAAAAGTATTACAAAAATAGCAAAAAATATAAATAGATAAGTAAATATATCACAATTTATAAACTTGGCTAAATCCAAAATTCTGTTGACAGGTGTTTTTTTAATATATAATCACCGGTAAGTTAGTGAAATAAGCAGAATAATGGCTTAATTAAGTTAAATTAAAAGATGCCACACCATGAAACTTCGACTGATACCAGGATTGAAAATTATTGTTTAATTAAAAAGGAAGGAAAGTCATTGAGAGAATTAGCAAAGATATTTGGATTGAGTGCGGAAGGTGTAAAGATGATGGTTAAGCGAATGAAGCAGCGAAAAACGACAGAAAATTCAATTAGATCAGATTGACCAAAGAAGACAACTGTAAGAGATGATAGACTGATCATTAGAACATCAGTTGAAACGCCAAACATGAGTTCAATAGAACTTAAAAACGAATTAAATTTGGCAATTAGTCCTCAAACAATTAGAAGAAGTCTCAATGATGTCGGATTATACGGTAGAGCAATGCAAAACCATTCATCTCTATAAATAATCGAACAAAGATGCTAAAATGCATTTAAAGTTGCTACTTGAAGTCTGGAAATCCTAATTTGGACAGACGAATGCAAGTTTGAACTCTAATCAACAAAGAGAAGAAGAACGATCTTCAGAAAAAAGAATGAGAAGTTTTTAATGCAACATATGATACCTATAATCAAGTTTGGTGGTGAGTTGGTGATGCTGTGGGGTTCTATTTCATGGAACGACCCTGGTATTATCAAGTTGATTAATGGTTAAATGACCAAAGAAGTTTATCTCAACATTGTACAGCAAAACGTCTTCTTCTTAATTTTGCTTCTTCAGCAAAATTAAGGATGGAGGACAATTTTATCTAGCAGGAGGATAATGATCCAAAACATACAGCAAAGATCGTCAAAGATTGGTTCACTGATCATGAAATTTACAAGTTCGATTGACCAGCTCAATCGCCAGATTTTAATATAATCGAAAATATATAGGAATACTTGAATAGAACTATTCCTCAAAACTAGAGATGTACCGATTAATCGGCATCGGCTTAATCGGCCACTTTTTGCACAATCGGTATCGGTATCGGCATCGGTCTTTCCTTATCAATTTACCGATTTTCCAACCGATGGCATTTTTTTATTTTTATCCCTAAAATTGTATTTATTTTTTGAAAGTTTTCTTTTCATAGTTAAAAAAAAGTAAAAAATGTATATTTATTTGATTGAGCTTTTCTAATATCTTTTGAAATAAAGGTTTGACTCTGATTTGGGTCCAAGTATTTGCTTACCAGTTCTGATTCCATGAAAAATTTTACACGATTTAAAGATGTATGGTTTTATATTATCAAATTATAATAGCTAGTTAATCTATCGGTATATATATATATATATATATATATATATATATATATATATATATATATATATATATATATATATATATATATATATATATATATATATATATATATATATAGCTAGTTAATCTATATATATATATATATATTTATATATATATATATATATATATATATATATATATATATATATATATATATATATATATATATATATATATATATATATATATATATATTAATTTATATATAATCTTAATATGTATATGAAAATATAATAATTAAATCAGCAACAACAAAAAATTTAATTTAATATTAGGTTTACAAAAACAATTATTTCAAAAACTAAAATAACAAAGATTAAGATAATAATGATGAAAAAATAATAACAACAAAAAGTTACCTTGATACTTGATCTGAAGTATTCTGAGAGAAAAATTTCAAAATGAGTTTTAGATTTTAAATAAATATCATGTTAATGTGTCAATTATGTATAAGATATAATAAACATTTCTTATTAAAATATTTCATTTTTATTATTTTGACATAAAACAATGTGAGAGAAAGAGCGTGAAACAATGTGAAAGAAAGAGTGTTATACAATTTTATCTTTCAATTTAGAATTTTTACTTTTAGATTTAAAATCTTTTTTATTGAATGCACCTTATAAATACTGAAAATATCTTTGTTTATTATTACTACCAAGAATAGCCAGAGTATAAATAAAAAGTTTTTAGCAGGCAAACTTCAAGAAAAAAAAAAGATGTTACAAAAATGATAACATCAGCATATAGTACACAACCAGTATTAAAAAACAAACTAGAGAGATCCTCTACAAAATTATTTAAGATTTTAATGCTATGGGATCTATGATGAAGCAATAATATTAGCTGGATTTTCCAAGGGAAATAAAAGTCATGTATCAAGCTACCATATTTACTTTCGAATACTTAAAAATTCAAGTGTATTTATTTACTATTCAAAGAACAATAAGAACTTTTGATAAGAAAATCACCTAAAATATCAATATTTTTAAAAATATTTTTATAAAATGTTGATATTTCAAAAGTTACAACTTATCTAAGAACAAACTATTATTATTAAAAGAATTCTTTTTGTAAAACAATTAAAAAATAAAAAAAGTTCCCTTAATTCACTAACCCAAACAATATACACTGAAAAATAAGACAATTGAAAGTGCAAAAAGTCTAACAGGTGATAACTATAAAATGAGAAATTTTATATTGGGCTATAATAAGAACATCACAATAATAACAATATAATAACTTGTTACATCACAAATAAAGGTACATCACTTATCTTCAAGAAAAAATTAATGAACATTTGAATATGGTCCATCATCAGCAGTTTGACATAGCTTTGTCATGATGTAGGAACAGAAGTATTGTATGGCATTTATATCAATTTGACAAATGTAACTTTTGATTTGGGCAATCAATTGTTGGCAGTTCTTGGCTCTCCAGTTGTTTTAGTATACTAACAAACTCAAATATCCTAAGAAATCTTTAATTGGGCGAGTTTATTTGGATTGCGGATTTTTGGTACATATGTTTTGGTTTTCCAAGAAGACTTGTATTTTTTTTAGCATAATGTGATAATGCTTTAAACACGTAATTGTCATTTGAATGATGTTTTTGAAGAAATGGAATCACTCTTTTCTTCAAACATTGATTCTGGTATACTTCTTGATTAATAGCCAAATCACTTGGCTTGAACCATGGTTTGGGAATTCTCCTCTCAGATATGGCAATGTACAGCATCACTTTCTGCTCAAACTTGTGTTTATATTTGTATTTTACTTTTGTAGGTGTTGTAGAACTTTTAAACACAATTAAATTAGCTGATGCAAAACAAAACATATGATAAATTTGTAAACAGAGTATAATTTCACATAGGCATACATTTCAATATATGAGAGGTTTGATATATGAGAGGGTTAGAGTTATTCTCATTATTCATCACCTATTAAAACAAAATTTTAAAGGTCTATATATGTGCATATTTACATTATAACATTAAAAAATATACATTTACGTAATTGTGCCTCAAAATTCCCATTCCCATTATGAACTTTTTTTTTTAATTGTTGTTTTGTTTCACCATATAGAAGGTATATACAATTAAAGGCTTTTTTTGTTTCATTTATTAAGCAAAAAAGATAATAAGAGAAAAAATTCAATTGTTTGCACCATACTCCTATATTTAGTCCATACTTTTTTTTTCTTTCTATTTTTTCTTCCTATTTTTAATCCATACCTATCTTGAGTCCATACTTAGTGTTTTCTATCTTATCTAAACAGTTCATTTTGATAAATAATTATCATAACAAATGTTGCAATTTGCCATATATAATGTTTTTTTACCTTCTCTATGCAATAAAACTCAATAAAAATTTGCTTTTGCAGTAACTGCGATTGTAAGTACTTTAAAAAAAGCTATACCATGATAAAATGTTACCAAAAAAAAACTAGTTGACTTGAGATAAAGCATAATTAATATTTCTTTAATTTTAATTCACCCCTCAAAGGTATACTACAGTCAAGGAGGCTACTTTAATTATGGTTTAAAAAGAAGATATAGTGCTTTTTGTTAAGTAAAAAAAATTCAACTACTTAATAATTGAAGACATAAAAACAAGAAAAGAACATCTGGACTTAAAAAAGAAGATATTGCCTTTATCAGGATGAAACAGGGTGGGAAGTATCATAGATCAACTTATAGAATGGGAAGTATAGGAACAAGGGATAAAAGGTTTTCATACACTATAAATAGAACACACAAAAAATATGTATTCTATGTTGAACACAGAAATCAAACTAAACAATGGTAACAATCCATATAGTTTAGAAAACTCTTTAAGTAGTTTATAGTCAACATGATTATTACATTCTAAATATAAATATGCAGCAGATATGAACAATCTACTCTTTTAATAATTTTCAAATAGCTGACTTAACATGTTGACTTATAGATGTATTTGATTCATCAAGTATTTTTTCTTGTAAATTTAACCACAATTTTAGCATACAAAAGATCAGTACCTCGTTTTCAACAAGCATTAATGCCTAACATACTAAGAATTTGAAATTCTTTGTGATGTAAATTAAAGTTTATATACCTTCTGCACTAAGTTTCATTATCAAAGAACTTGTAAATTGTTTTTAATAAAAAGTTCAGTTTTAATGTTTTTGCTTTAAATGCAAAAAATGAACATTTATTTTATTTTTTCTTAAATTTTATATAGTCATGTTCAAACTTTTAGAGAAAAAACTCTAAACTTAAACCTCTCCAGCAACTGGCAAATATTAAAACATACAAAACAACTTTTCAAGAACAATTCAATGTCATGGACATGTCAGGCTGAGGTCACACACCTAGCTAAAACAGGTTAACTCATCTTTATTTACTAAATGGACTGGTTAAGTCCTGACATGCTAAAGTGATCAATATACAATGCTAATGTAAAATTTTTGATATTCACTTATGATGTAAAATTAATTTTAGTTACATACTAGCAGTGAAATGTTTTGAAAAAATCCACACACAAAAAAAATAATTGAATTTAATAATTATTAAATTGTTCCCCACAAGGGAAAATAATAGATATAGAATTGAAGAAAATAATAGAATAAAAATAAAAAAATAATGAAATATAATTTATATTTTCTTTTATTAATGAAAGTTAGCAATTTTAATGGTAACATATTAGCATGCAATTTTATTTATAAGTTTAATTTATTAATAAGTAATAAACTTATAAAAACTTGGTCATAGTTTTTCAACTCAAAAAAGAAGAAATTTGAGTTAAAAAATCAAAGAGACATCTAAAGATCTTAAGATCTTTGGTTTAAGTATTAACAACTACTTGGTTTTAGTATTAACAACTACTTGGTTTTAGTATTAACAACTACTTGGTTTTAGTATTAACAACTACTTGGTTTTAGTATTAACAACTACTTGGTTTTAGTATTAACAACTACTTGGTTTTAGTATTAACAACTACTTGGTTTTAGTATTAACTACAGCGTTGTTTTGATTAACATATAACTACAATGTTGTTTTGATTTTTAACCAAGTCATTTTCTTCAGTTTAGTCAAAGACATCAACTACAATTCTTGAAAAAAAAATTTAATAATTTGAAAACTTTAGTACAAAAAAACTTTAATACAAAATTAATGCTTTTTCTGTTTACATTATAAAAGTGGAATCAGTTTACAACATAAAGTATGTAATCATAATGTAATGATAAAATATTTGTAATTAAAAATTCAATAAAACTACTTACTGTTGAAGAGGAACCAGAGAATGACCTAAATATGTATAAATTGCCATAAAAAATTTTATCAAAAACATAATTGTAAAAAGCAACAGAAATTTTAAAATTTTTCACAATTTTTTGAGATTTAGTTTTATATATGATACAGATCCTAATAAAAATTAGAACAACCATCTTGCCTCAGTAAAACATGTACGCAGGGATGTCCCAAGTTATTCCTACTCTTAGGTGAAACTATAAAAACGCTGAGAAACTTATGGAACAAAACTTTGGGGAACAAAATCAGGACTATTGAGTGTACAGGAGCTACAAATTTTAAATCTGCAGACCTTATCTAAAATGACCGGAAAAAACTCTGGGCTCTTGGTTAAAAAATATCAGTTCTAAGACTTTAAACTAAATTAGTTTTCTCTTCAATGAGTTTAGTCCACAAGGTAGCCTAACATTTTTGCTAAAGATAAAACATTACATAAAACAGTAAAATTAGCAATTTGTTTAAAAACACACTACACCTTTTCAAGATGTAAATGAGAACATGAAAGTTGTAATTAAGAAGTGGTAATATGTAATTAAGAAACACAACATGTAATTGAGAAAACGTTATATGTAATTGAGAAACACAACATGTAAATAAGAAGTCGTAACATGTAATTAAGAAACACAACATGTAATTGAGAAATTGTAAGATATAATTGAGAAATCATAATATGTAATTGAGAAATCGTAACTTGTAATTGAGAACACATAAATTAAAATAGCAAATTCACAGTCTAAGCTTGTAGGTTGTTACAAAAGGTCTTTTTGGACATGAATTTAAGTTATAATCTTAAATTTTGCTTTTGTATGCACAAGTAATAATAATGGAATTGAAAGATCGTTGTGTTATATGCCAATACACTATGACCCAAAAGTCTGTGATTAAGCTAAATCTGTGTCAACATTTATGTCACCAAATTTGTTTACGTCCAGTTCTGGAACAACCAGATTCAAGTTGTCCGATTTGTCGGCATGAAATACACACAACTGAACAAGTTGAAAGGAAATGTTACGTTTTATCTTCTCCAAATGACAGGAGAAGAGTTGTTGAATGTGCGGAGCGATTTGAAGATTGGGTGAATCTCGCGCAAACGCTAGTTATCAAATATAAGACAGCATACAATTGGGTTCGCAGCGGAAATTCAAATTTCATCGGAAAAGGAGGTTTTAAACCGAAAAAGTTGACCAAAGATCAAATCGAAGAAACATTAACATGGATTGAAAATGATTGTCAATTAACATTGGTGGCCATCAAAACAAAGATATTAAGACAATTTAACATAAACGTTAGCACAACAACAATAGCAAATTACCTCGAAGGCAGATTGTTCTCATTAAAAAAAGTGCACAAGGAGCCTTCTACTATGAACAGTTATGAAAACAAACAAAAAAGAGCTGAATATGTTAGAAACATCAACGAACATATCACAAATGGTCGTCAGATAGTTTGGTTGGATGAAACAAATTTTAACCTTTTTTGTAGAAAAACGCAAGGACGCGCGAGACAAGGAAAAAGAGCAATTATGAAAGTACCTGCTTCAAAAGGTTTAAACATACACTTGATCGCAGCTATTTCAACTATAAATGTCGTAATGATAGAAACTCGCAGGGGATCATTTAAAGCAGATTCCTGTAACGAGTGGATGTTGGCTATGTTTCACAAGTGGGTTACATCCGGGAATCGTTTGGAGGATTTGGTCGTCGTAACAGATAATGCTCCTTGTCACGCTCGTTTGCAAAGGGTGTTTGATAATTCACCAGCTCAGTTGTTACGTTTGGGACCTTACAGTCCAATGTTGAACCCGGTGGAAACGATCTGGTCCAAAATTAAAAGTAACGCTAAAAATGCAATTCGCATTCCACCTGTATTAGGTGACAGGATTGCGGAACAGCGCATGCAGTACTTAGAACAAATTTGTAATTGAGGCGAAAAATACTATAATGGGAGGAGATTGTGCACGTGCGGTACAACACACAACCACGCACTATGCAACTATTTTAAATATGGAAGACGTACAAGTTGGTGCTTAAATGATCAATGAAGTGATTTTTAATTACATAATTTTTAATTATAATTTTTAATTGAATTATAAATTTTTCCCTAAAACGTTTTTAGTGTTTATTATGTTAAATTCATTTGCCCAAAAATTATAAATTTTTCCCTAAATTTTTCCTTAAAAAATTAAATTTACGCTACAAATCTTGCGTCATTTTTAAGTGCGTCATTTTATACGCTCCATTTTTTTACGCGCCATTTTACACTTACTCCTTTAAAGCGATATCTAAATTAAAATTTTCGTGTTCTCAATTACATCTTTCTATTTCTTAATTACAACTTACATTTTCTCAATTACATGTTACGATTCTTAATTACAATTTTCGTTTTCTAAATTACATCTTATGTTTCTTAATTACAACTTTTGTTTTCTCAATTACATCTTACGATTCTTAATTACAATTTTTGTTTTCTCAATTACATCTTGAAAAGGTGTAGTGATTTTCTTTATTTCAATTATGAAAAATTAAAAAACATTTCAAAATTTTACTCAATTCTAAATATTTAATATTTACAGAAAATCTTTGAAAGAGCGAAATTCTCTCTCTCTCTCTCAACTTTAAAACACAAACTTTATTAAACTTGTTAACCATATTATTAACAAGGCTTTTAGAGGTTTAAGATTTCATCCTTGCAATAACAAATTTAACAAGATTGTTAAACTTAAATCTCTCAGTTGTCGGCCAAGTATTCTATCTCTAGTCTATCATTGTATTCTTTCTCATTCACGCATACTTCTTTACACAAAAAAACCAGCAAACAAAAAACATTTTTTTAAATGTACATTTTTTTACCTAGTGTTGTTTTCGCAAAAATAGTACAATAATAATATTTATAAACAAATAGAAAAACAAACAACAACAATAAACAAATTATTTTTTAAAATTAAAACCAACCTATTTCTTGTTTGTCTTGTCCACTCACCATTTTTACTTTTTAACTCAAGTACTAGCATCTAAAAGAAAAAATCAATCAACTCAAACAATGATAAAAGAAAGAACCATTTAACTCAAGCACTTATATATAAACTTAAGTACTTATACAAAAAACTCAACTTATATAAAATCAACTCTAGCACTTATATATAATGATAAAAAAACTTCATTATTTCAAGTACTCCCTAAATAAAAAAACCTAATCATATACAGAAAGTTAATGGTTTCATAAAAAAAAGTTTGTGACAGTTTGTTTAACAGCTAAAGCAAACATGAAAAATATTAAATCGCTGTATGACTTTAAAAAAGTCACACAAAAAAAGTTTACAAAAGAATTTAGTAGGAAGTGTGTAATCACCTCTTCATCAAAAGATTGAATGAATACTGAATTAACAAGCCAATAATTATTGTTAAGAACTATCGCAATGTTGATGAAACTCCTATATTAATGAATGGAAACACTCTTATTGAATCCTCTACTTTCCAGTCTTCATGGAAACCATATATACAATCCATTGCAAAGTTACTATCTGCAAAGATGTTAACTTTGAATCCCTTTACCCTTGGCTTGCCATATCTTTAGTCCAGATTTTATTCTCTATATTTATAAACTTCCCTGTATGGAATACTGTTTTGTCAAATTCTTATTATCTTATATACTATCTGCAGTATACCTAATATATGGAATATATCAGGTATACTGTTTTGTCAAATTTGGGCTGGTTTTTCTAATGATGCCTTTAAAATAATAAATTGCATGAGTATCCTAACTTATACACTTTAAACCTTTTTAAGTCTTCTACCAACTGTTTTCTTGCTCTATAATAATATTATTTATAAAATATCTAATAAATTAGTTTAAAAAAAGTAAAGATATAGATATTATGTGATTGTTAATGAGTCTTGTTTCTTGTCTTGATCTTCGAAAAATATTTTTACTTTTTGTTTATGTTTGCTAAGACATCAAAGAAAATCAAAAAAAAAAAAAAAAATGCAGTGCTTAAATAAGTGCCCTCCTTAAATTAAAAAAGGGCCTGAATAATTATTGTTATGATTTAAATTCTTCAAGGTGTATTTTTGTGTGTGTGGGACTGTGTGTTGCTTTTAGGAATTTTAATATTTACTTTCTTCAGATAGACTTGCTATCATCATATGATGGCAAGCATGATGAACAATTAGCAAGAAACAAAAAAATTTTTATAATCTTATTGCTAAATAAGTTTTTTCCTTCAAAAACCCATAATTTAGAATTCTCACACCTGTGTTTTTCTGGCGGATAGAATTTACAGCTTTTTAAGCCCTTTGTCAATAAATTTAAAAGAAAAAGGAGGTTAAATAAGTTTAATGCTATTATCTCTTGATTTATTAGTTGATCTTATGGGTATGAACCTATGTAACAGTCAATACACATTTAGCAAAAGTCAATGCAATTTTTTCATTATAAAACTTAACAATTTATGAAAATTATTTTGATATTGACTTTATTGATTGATTAACGGACTGTCAATAAGCCTTAAAATACTTGAAATACAAATTAATTATTAGTTTTGAATGTCAACTGATCATCATTATGGATTTCGATCTTCTTGTTCTACAGCTGATTTGGTAGCAGTAATAACTGATAGGTTTTATTGAGCATTAGATAGAGGTGGAGATATTAAGGCTATCGCTCTTGACATTTCTAAAACTTTGGATCAAGTTTGACATTCTGGTCTTTTTCATAAGCTTTCTTTTTATAGTGTATCAGGTAACATCTTTAAGATTACTAAATCCTACCATTTCAATCGTAATATAAAAGTTGTTCTTGATAGACAGCATTCTTCTTATCCTGTAACTTCAGGGGTTCTTCAAGGTTCTATTCTTGGCCCTATACTTTTTTTAATTTACATTAATGATCTTTCAGATATTCTCACATCTAAGGTAGGATTGTTTGTTGATGATACTAGCATTTATTCTTGTCTCGATAAGCAGTAAACACACTTTAATTGCTTGGAGAAAGCATTTGAGTTTGAAAAGGATCTCTTCTACTTCAGCATGGACCTCAGTGGCTGGTGAACTTTAATTCAGATAAAACTCAATTTTTTTCAGCTAATTATCACAATAATTTAGATCCTTCTATATTTATGAAAGGTAATGTACTCGTTGAGTCATCTACCTTTCATCTTCTAGGATTAACTCTTACTTCCAATCTTTCTTGGAAACCATATATCAAATCCATTTCAAAACTAGCATCTGATAAGGTTGCATCTCTTTATCGTGCTTGAAACTTCTATACTTCAGATTCTATTCTTTATCACTATAAATCTCAAATCTGTCCTTGTATGGAATACTGTTGCCATATCAGGGGTGGATCTTCCAATGATGCCTTTTCTCTTTTAAAAAAAGGTGCAAAAAGGCGTTGTAAATGTAGTTGGGCCTGCTTTTGCGGCTTGCCTCCAACCATTATCACATCATTGTAATGTTGCTTCTCTTTCTCTTTTCTACATATACTATAATGGGCACTGCTCTAAAAAGCTAGCATCTTTTGTGCTATCTACTAAAATTCACTTTTTTCTGTGACTGTTCCTAAGTGCTCCAAAAACTTTTATTTGTCTAGTTTTTTTCCTCAAACATCAGTTCTTTGGAATTTGTTCCCTTCATCTAGTTTTTTTGTTTTGTTTTTGTATTGTTTTTCCTTATTCATAACTTGCAATCTTTTAAGTCGTTATCTTGCTCTACAAACTTTATCTTTTCTCTTCCATTAAATTTCAAATCTAATAGTGGTTGTTTGCAGCCTTGTTGGAAGTAAAGATGTTAAAAAAATAAAATAAAATAATTAAAATATAGTTACAAGAAAAGCCAAACTTTTATATAATCTACAAGAATCTATTAAGTGATTATACTTTTTTCTGACCAAAAAATTTAGAGTTCAACTCATAACTGGAGCATACTGACCTTAAAATTGCCTTTGATCTAATAATTACATTTACCACTAACTCATCTTATATCAGCATTTCAGCATTTTCATATGCTCTTTAGACTAATTCTACAATAAGTGTTACCAATTTGTGTTTGGGCATATTAACTATAAGGTTTAGCTTTTTCTTTTGAATATTCTTCTTTCTATTTTTTTACTGATGCATTTTTAGCAGAAGACTTGGCAAAGAATTTTTTAATGCCCATCTTGTATCCCAAAAGTAACATATACTCAAAAGATTTGAGCTAACAAGACAGAGTAAAAAGCCCCAAAGATAAAGCATTTTCATTGAATAATTTAGATCTTATAAATGCTGGATTATAAAATTCACTTTGTTTAGCTACACAAACATTACATGAGTGGCTTAGCTACACAACATTACATGATTCGGAGGACAGAGTTTTAGTGAGAGTATTCACAGCTCCGCCATCAAACATCTAGTTTAAACTTGAACTTGATGTTTGAATCTCTAAACTCAACATTTATTCTTTAAGGTTTGCTTCTTGTGAATTTCTTTACTTGTAAACTATTATTTTTCTTTTTATAATAGAGATGTTAGGTCCACAGTAACATGTACTAGATGGCTTCTTGTTCAACCATACTTTTTCATTACTTATGGTTTATTTAGTTTCAACAATAGCTGTCTGAAAAATACTTAATTTGCTTGTTAATTTGACACCAATACTTGTGTCAGTATATCCTCTTTAAAACCCACTTTGACTGAAAGTGCCATTTAAGCCCCATTCAAAGTGAAGTACACTATTAAACTTTCTCCCACTTTCAGTACATATTCTCATATTCTTGTCATTCTCATTTCATTGTCAGAAAAAAATATTACCTCATCAGAGAATCATTAAACTTATTCGGTAGTGGAGTTAAAGCAGATGTTTTTGTCGCTATTACCTCAGGATAACATTTCTGCCTTTCATTTTTAGTTACACGAAGAGAAAGATAATTCAATATTATGGAAGAATTTATGATTGAAACATCTGAAAGATCACATAAAATTTTTAAACTCAACATATCAGTTTTCATAGTTTTAGAAAAACTAATTACTTTTAGCCTTGCCAGGGATGTATCATCTTTTATAACAACAATAAATCATATTTTGGCTGGATAAGTGTTTTTGTATATGTGTGTATATTTACATATAATATATATAAATTTATATACAAACTATATATATATAAATATATATAAGGAGATTAAAATAAACAAACCATAAAATAAAAAGAGAAATAAAAACTAAAAAAAAAAAAAAAAACTAAACTAAAAAAATTAAAATCTTAATGAATATAAATAAAAAATAAACCAGATAAAATGAAAGCATAAAATTAATGTCATTTTAATTTAAAAACTTCAGAGATAAGATTGAAGTTAATTTCAGAGAATTTAGATAAGATTGAAGTTAACTTAAGAGAGATAAGATTGAAGTTAACTTCAGAGAGATAAGATTGAAGTTAACTTAAGAGAGATAAGATTGAAGTTATCTTCAGAGAGATAAGATTGAAGTTAACTTCAGAGAGATAAGATTGAAGTTATCTTCAGAGAGATAAGATTAAAGTTAACTTCAGAGAGATAAGATTGAACTTCAGAGAGATAAGATTGAAGTTAACTTCAGAGAGATAAGATTGAAGTTATCTTCAGAGAGATAAGATTGAAGTTAACTTCAGAGAGATGAGATTGAACTTCAGAGAGATAAGAAGTTGCTAAGTTATATAATCCAAGCTTAATTACTTCATAAACTTTTTGAAATTTTGATATTGTCTTTTGTCTACTAAGCAAATAATACAATGCAAGTTCAGCATTGGAATAAGGGTTCAAAAAAGGATTTGAGCCCTTATTCCAATGCTGAACTTACATTTGCGCCTCATTAATATAACAATAAACCAAACTACACTAATCTAGTGATAGAAGAGAAATTATTAAGTTTAAAGTATTAATTGAGACATTTTAAAATTTAATTAGGTTTGAACTATTGAAACGCTTCTAAATTAAAAAATATATTCCTTTTATGCTTTTATTTTCTTTGATTTATCCTTTATTTATTTTATCATCAGGTTCTCTTTTCAGTTTATGATTTTTTTTTTTCATTTTTTCTCTTTAAATTAGTTTGGTTTTTTGAGCACAATTTTTAAAGGCATAATATATTTTGTCTGCAAAAAATTTCAGACAAATTACTAAAATGTTAAAATATACAGAAAAATGTTTCATAAAAACTTATCTAAAACTAAAAAAACAATAACATATTATTTAAAATTTACCAACCTGGCCACTTGTAATTGTGCTATCTTGCAAAGTGCTCTCCATCCTGGTGATTATTTCATAAGTGTTATGCATTAATTTATTCCATACTCTTGTTTCAGTTTCTTCTGGTATATGTAGTAACTTCTTAGCTTCACGCAAAACATCAGCTGAAAAAATTAACAAAAATTAATACCATATACAATTCTACAATAGAAAAAATTTCTACTTGATTAAAGATTGTAAAAGACTTATGTTATAGCTTATGTTATATGTTATAAAATGTAAAAGGAATGCTGCCTATATAAATGTAAGCATATACAGTGATATAACCTACACATGAACTCATTATCTACAAAGTTAAACATAACACCTATTCAATCAAACATATCTATTCAGTAATTAAAAATTCCTTGATTTTTAGGAGTAGAATGTACTAACAAAATAAATATGTATGAAAACTATTTAGCTGAGGTTTCTTTATGCAACTTAAGTCAACTAAGGTTCTCCTCTAATGTAACAAGTTAATTGAGGTTTGCCCTTGAAAAGTGAAACTATAAATGGCTATATCCATGAAATAGCCATTTATAGTCAATAGATTGATCTATGATATCCATGATATCTATCCTAAGCGTAAGATATTGATTTCTATCCTAAGTGTAAGATTATTATTTTTCTAGATATGAATTACTATTATTCTATAATCTGTCAACAATGAGAATAGAGTATATATATTTTTATAAATAACTGTTTACTGATTCTGTTTAACCATTTTGCATCAATAATATGTTCAATATTGTTGAGAAAAAACAAAATCAAGGTAAATAAATCAAGGTATGATCTTACCTTGATTTATCTAGATATGAATTACTATATGCTTGTCCTTTCTATAATCTCTCAACAATTATAATGGAATATATATATTTACAAAATATTTGTAAATAGAAGAATTAAGATCATTTATGAAATAAATGATTTTAATTCTTCCTGTGTAATAATAATAAACATAAATCGTATATTTACATTGGCATATAAATCAAAAACATATTACCAATTGTAGAAACTTTGCTAAAACTTTTCAAAACAATGTTATCCATGTCGTTGAATGAGCACAACTTTAGCTCAATTAAGTACACCTCTAACTTTTTTTCCTTCATATATAATCCATGTTGAACAACTTTTCGACAAATAGGCTCTTGATTAGGCATCAACCCATAACAGTTTTTCAAAGCAATCCACCCATCTTCATTTATAATTTGATAGTCATTACGTTCAAGAAGATGCTCTTTCAACCTGCCACTTTCTGAGAAGAACAAAAAGAAAAAAAACAAAATGTACAATAATAAATGAAAAACCTATTTTAAAGCTGTTCCTTTTCTTGGATTGGATTAAGGCAATGCAGATCTTCAAAACATACAAAATTACTTTGGTCAATAATTCCTGAATTGTCTATTGGTCCAGGATTACTTGACTCTAGAGCAGATGGATCTTCTAGATCTACATATTTAATCCATTGTGTGTACCAGCGGTTATCAAGAAGATACCTAAAATTTACAAAAATTAACACATTTATATTTAACACAAAAACCATTTTCAGAGATTTGTTTAAATAAAAATGTATTTATAAAAAAATTTAGAGAAGAAAAAAGATTACTCATGGAGACTAGTATGCATCACAACAGCAGTGTGCATCACCACAGCAAAACTTTGTTGTTTATTTTTGAGTGGTCTGTGTTTTCAATGTGTTCTAATGTGATTAATAATAACTTGTGTGAAATATTTTCAAAATTAGAGTTTATTTAGAGGTACTCTTTTGGTAAATAGGCTACTTAAAGGCTGGCCATTTTTGCCAATTGTGGATTTTTAGCTAATTTATTATGATAGCCTTTCTTTTTAATTCTGATTCATGGAGTTACTAAGAAAAAAAAAATTGATTTACAAAACAAGGAAATGGTTGACAGCAGACTTGAAAAGTTGAAGGTTGTATCTGTCAGGAAAGCTTGAAGATGACATAGAGTTCCGATGGGTTGAATTGCTGGGAAATTGCTTAGACGAATAATATAAGAATGTCAGCAATATTGCAATAATTGTTTGCAGTAAATAACTGAGTTTTGTTGGAGCAACTGCGAGCCCCAATCTGTTGCAGAAATGAGTTCAGATTCAAGATGAGCTGCCTGTTTTAAGTAATTGAAAAGAGAAGACTTTTTGTCAAGACAGGAGTATAAAGTTGAGTCATCAGCAAATAGAGCCACTTTAGATGTAAAGTTGTCAGGAAGATCATTAATGTAGATAAGAAACAAAACAGGACCAAGAATATAACCTAAAGGTACCTGAAGGCCAGCACTCTTTATTGACCTTGGTAAATAAGAAGAGTGTTAGCATTCGAGGATGACTTTAATAAAGCAGTTAGAAAGAAACAATTTGATAATCTCAAAAACTTTCTCAGATCAACCATATGAAACAAGCTTATGGAAAAGACCACTTTGCCAAACTTTGTAGAAAGCTTTAGATATGTTAAGAGCAATAGTCCTAGCCTCTTCGCCTCCGCTTAATGCATGAAAAAATCTTTTAGTCCTAGCAGTTAGCAAGCCAGCCAAATTGCAGATCGTATTGACTGTCTGATAGCAATACTGATGGTCCTACTAGGATGTGTTTTTCTATAACAAATTAGCACATGATAAATACCTAGGTCTTAAACTGCTTCTAATACACTACAAAAAAATTTAGGATTTTGTTATTTTGAAAAACAGCCTTTGAGACAAAAATATGGTATTTTTATTGAAACAACACAACAATTAATTGTATTTAGAATAAAAGAAACTGCAATTAAAAGAAACTAGTTTTGTAAAATGTACATGTTAAATTATCACTTCTTGTTTAATAACAGTGAATAGCTTTTATGCTTGCAGGTTTTTGATCAGCTAGGCAAAATAGAGGTATGTCAGAGTAGTCATGTGGGATAACGTCCTAACTACTTCTAAACCTTGTGGATTTGATATATAGTTTCCAAGAAAAATTAGAAGAGTTAATCCAGAAGACTAAGGGTAGATGACTTATCCAGTACATTGTGGTTCATAAATATAGAAAGACTTAGATTATTGTGATAACAATTTAACTAAAAAAATTGAGTTTTATTTGAGTTAAAGTTCACCAGCCACCAAGAGCCAAAGAGAGATAATAATAATATTATTAATATAATGCCATTATTAATGGTAATATAATAATATTCTGTAATCTTCGTAAAACTATACTGATTCAATTGTTGTCAGAAAAAAAGGATTTGGTATACTATTTACAAATTACTTATATGTAACAATAATAATAACAAAAATTTAAATTTGTTTTCCTTGCACCCAATAGATCCAGGTTCTAGGGATTGAGAAAAAAAAGTTAAAAAAAGTGTAAGTGAAAATTTTTACATATAGAAATACATAGGTATAAGATTAGTAATAAGAAGTTATTATATAAAAACTAGATATATGGTCTTGTGAATATACTGCCTTCCTGTTTATAAATCATCAAGACACATAAAACAAATGTTATTTTTGAACAGTTCAAGTACACTTAGAGCTGAACTACCAGTTTGTTGGTAAATTTAGTTAATAGTAACTCTTTTGTGGCATCTAATATTAAAAATAAGGACCAAACATATTCTACCATGTTTTCATTAAAAATAAGGACCAAACATATTTTACCATGTTTTCACGAGGTTCTCTTCACTAAACCTCCCCTTGAGATAAATTTGATATAAAGTGAAGATATTTTATTAGTTTAAAAAAGATCTTGGCACAAATAACATTTAAATTTGGATTTTATTTTTATTTTGTTATATACCCAGCAATATGACTAACAACTTCTTTTAAACTTTCCCATAAATTGTATTCTTCTATTTGTAATAAAAGTAAAGCTTTTCTAGTTTTTTTACATCATTATTGTATAATGATATAAAATGGTCATGATGGTAATAAGAATTTTAACCAAGCCTTTATTATTAAAACTTATTGAAATTAATAATAAAATTATATATTAAAATTATGAATGAATAATAGAATAGTATATTAAATAACTTATTGAAATGAATAAAAAATAAATTCTCTAATTTTTTCTCTATGCGATTTTATTTTAACAAATTCATTTTTTGCCGAATCACAATAATTATGAATTAGCTTCATCATTTTTACCTTTTCGAAGATAAGTTTTTCCTTAATGCTTGATCGTTATTTAAGTTTCTTTTTCTAATTTTAATTTTATGAACATGTTACAAATTTCTTATCTACTGATTGATGAGCTCTTACAGCTTAACAATTTATAGCTTGTTTGTCTCCTTTTTCTTTTGAAAAATATTTCCACACAGAATCTGCCATGATAAAAAATGTTTTTTTAAAGTTATATATTTAAATAAAGAAACAAGTTTTTGGATTAAAGAAAATAGTAAGAAAATTAAAAATTTTAAAACTAACCACTTGAAATAACTAAATTCATATGGTCAATACAGGAAAAAACTCAACGCCATTTAAAATTTTTTGAATAATAAATTTAATTATAAATTTTAATTCTTGATATTCAAATATATTGAATTTATTTTAAATAAATTCAATGTATTTGAATATCGAGAATTTAATTCTAATATTTTTGTAAAATTTAAAATTTAGCTGATGGGAAACAGGTTTTAAAATAACGGTTTTAATAAACAATTATCTTTTTAAACTAAGGGTAACTTTTAAAAGGTTTTAAAGAGCTAATAGTAAAAATTATAATGTTTCCACGGAAAAACAAATAAAATTATTATTGACT